ACGTGATTTGTGGTGACCACGGGCCTTTAAAGAACCGATACAGTGTCATTTTCCTCTGACTTTTCCAGTGATGAACACACTACTGGAATAGAATTTATACGCAGCAAATGCAGCCTGGCTGGGAACTAACTGGCTGGCAGTATAGATTTAGAGACAAAAATCCACACCTAACTTATGAGTGTGGACAAGTGCTACAATGGAAAAAAAAGGAAAAAGGAAGGAAGGGAAGGAGGTGGCGAGGAAGGGGATCAAGTCTTAAGGAATAAATACCCTGGCAGATCTGGAAGTAAAAGGAAATGAATAGAGGAGACAGGGATGGTAAGTCAGAAGTAAATAGCAAAAAGAAGAGGCAGTGGAAAATACAGGGAGGGAGGGGAATGAAACAGGAATGCAAAAAGGGAAAACAGGAACAGGAAGAGAGTGAGGAGCCAGGCAGGAAGAAAGGAAGAAAGGCTACTCGTATTTCTAGCAGTTGTATCATAGACTTAGAGAATACACGGACTCAAAAGCTATCAAGTCACGTTCAGTGAAGCAAAAGTGGAAGCCATTGAAATGTTTCCTTAACAACTTAAAGTAAATAAATGAATAGCTGCTGCCACACTGATTCATCTTTTGCATGTCGGTGCTCAATAAACGTTAATTGAATTAAATTAATAACATTTGCTCAGCGGCAATAAAAAATTAATTAACTGTCTGTCTTACTGTTGCTTAGTTTATGCCCACTGGTTCTTGCAATTACTTCTCACCCAAACAAGGATCTTTCTATTGCAGTGACTTTCAAGATAGGCTTTAATTTTTTTTTTTCTAAGAACTATAGAGAAGCTCCTAATTTTTGTCCTAATTTTGGTTTGTATTTTTGGGGTGGAAAAATTATTTTTCTCCAAGTTAATGTCAGGAACTATGTATAACATTCCCAAATATAGTTTCACGGGTTCCTTATTTAATTCTAAAATACCATCCCATGCAAAGGATATGATGCCACTTTTCCCTGTGTTCCTCCTTTTAGCCCATGCTGCTTTTTAATACTTTGGAGACAATGTCAAATAACACTGTAAAGGAAGAAATCTGGGGGAATTATTGTTAGCATTCCAGCTATAAAAAAAAAAAATGGAAGCTGTCAGTAACATTCACCCAAAAAAAAAAAAAAATGTGACTCACTTCAGATGTCAGAATTCTGGGTTGAACAGACTGGGTTCTGAATTGTACGCGTGTCAGATGATTTTTTAATGAGCATCAGATAGCTCTCACTGGGGGATTAAAAAAATAAAAATATAAACAGAGATATAGCGTTAAAATAACTTTATGAATGGCAGTTTAAATTCTCCATAAAATCCTCTCTGTGCAAACCTGGTATGCTCCAAATGGTTGCTTAATGTAGCAAACCACTTACATTCAAAATGCTATACTTAAAAAATGCTGTACTTAAAAAAGTTGTCGCAAAATTAAAAAGAGAATCATATACCACTTGGCTGTAAACTGTACTCTCTGCATGTTTTTACATTCCAGTAACCTCTATCCAACTTTTTTTTTGTTACCGAATTACTTTGTGCAAAAGCGATTTAAATTACATGCAGTCTGACTGTGCGTGATAATTTGAACTGATTGCTAATGAATTCTGTTAAGCAAAGCACTGCTGTAATCTCTTATAGTCATCATGGTTTGCGATCAGTTCTTTTCTGAGCTGCCTTTGAATGGACAACACACAGTAGCTGTAGCTGAACAAGCCCTTCCCCAAGTGTTCAAGAAATCAGTCCTTCTTTACCATGCAGGAAAAGAAGGTCTGTCAAGCTGAGTTATTTGCAAGACTGGCCTTAGGTGTTAATGCATCTCAAGTCTTAGGATAGAAGGGCACTGCTGATATATCTCAGCCGCTAAAAGACAGTTACTCTAGATAGAGGCAGAGAATACATTAGGGACATATATAATATTTATAAAAGACAAAGATGAGAACAAAGCTTTTGCAGTTCCTAGATCCAGACTTCAGTTGACTACAAAGGAATTGTTGGACAGCTTAATAAAGCAAAGGTTCTATAAACCTTGAGTGTTCTCATTCCTCTACTAATTTCAATTCTAACTCTAGTAATTCACCTAGTTGTAGTACTAACTTCTACTTTTCCCATGTCATAGAAGAAGCCAGCAGCAAAATCTACCTCCTACACTCTTTCAGACAGGTGTTTTAGCATGATAAGGTACATTCTACTATACTTACAGATATGAGCCTAGCACAAGTGTCCTCTGAGAAGCTTCACCCAGCAACTGATGGAAACAGATGCAGAGGCCCACAGCTAAACATAGGCTGAGCTCAGAAAATCTTGTAGAAGAGGGCCACAGAGGATTAAAGGAGCCAGAGAGGTCAAGGCACCACATGAAAATCGACAGAATCAACTAAACTGGGCCCATGGGGGCTCACAAAGCCTGAACCACCAACCAAAGAGCATGCATAGGATGGACCCAGGCCCCCTACACATATGTAACAGATGTGTAGTTTGTTCTTCACGTGGATCCCCTAACAACTGAAGCAGGGGCTGACACTCACTCTGTTGCCTGCTCTTGGATCCCTTTCTCCTAACTGGGCTGCTGTGTTTAGTCTCAATAGGAGAAGATGCGCCTAGTCCTACTGCATCTTGATATGTCAAGGCAGGTTGATATATATATGCAAGGTTGCTCCTTCTCTGAGGAGAAAGGGAGGGGAGAATGGAGGAGGGGAAGGCAGGAGAGGAGGGTGGGAAAGCTGTGATCTAAATGTAAAGTTAATTAAATTAACAATAACGTAAAGCTTGATATAAAACACAGGCACTGATATACATGTGTTTGTATATTGAATGTATATATATATATATATATATTCTACATATATATATATTGAATGTATATATACACATATGTTTGTATATTGTATGTTGAAGACAAAGCAGTTGTCTTCAACCTGGGCAATTTTGTCCCAGTAGAGAAATTTGACAATGCAAACAGTAGCTTTTATTATTATAGCCTAGAGACACAAAACCACGACCCGTGTCTCCTCAGTAGATGAGAATGTATATTCATTGGTCTGGCTCAAAACACAGATACTACTAAGCAATAGAAGACAGTATTTAAATATCCATGTCAGTGGAAACCTGGATGATTATTGAATGTCTTCATACTCAAGTAAGGAAAATAAATCCCCACTTTCACCATGACCATCACCATCTTCATGTTATTAACACGGCAAGTATTTCTTGAGCTAGAGGAAGCCTAGAGTCTGCCAATGTGTAGTACCAATTCTATTTTCACATTCGGTATTCAATACTACATTAATTGCTGTCAACAATAGATGTTTTTCCCGAACACCTACTCCTGCCAATCTTTTTTAGGGTGGTTTAAACCACCACCAAGAGACTTAAAGCCAGCAGCATATGGGAAAGGGAATAAAAATTAAACATTGTCAAAAACCAAGGCTGTTTGGAAAATCGGAAAGAAACAAAAATGGCCCAAGATGACTGTGCGTGGCAGACTGTTTGGTCTGCTTCCAGTTCAAGCCTTCAGAGAGAGAGACCATCTCATGATGGGTCTTAAGAACCCCTGATTGACAGGGCTGTGGGCTGTGTTTTCTCTTTCCTCCTCTCCCAAAGGCAGACCTCCTTAGAACACCCAGATTCATCTGCATGTTGGGTTCACCCAAGAAGTTTCAGTAAAGTCCCCAAGGGGTGATGGTTCGATTAGTCTGGTGGGGAGAATGGTATCTGAACATTTCAGCGGTTCAGCAACGTTAGATTTCTCAGCTGACTGAATTCTGTCAAAGCTTCAGGGAATCACACTCTTGAGAGGTAGAACCGAGCAGACATTGCACTGCCATAAAAGAAAAGGTAATATTGAAACAAGCCATAAATATGGAGCACTGAGCTGGGTGTGCATATCCAATCAAGTGAGCCTCACTCTAGTTACCCAGTGAGCACTGCTGAGTCAGCCCAGCCCTGGGCTCCTGATAGGAATGGGATTCCTAGAACACAGCTTCCTGAAGATGTCCCTGAGACCAGCCTAGGGTGTGTTTCATCTCTTGCCATCTCAGCGCTTTGCTTACAGATACAGTCATGTTATATATCAAGCTGCCATCCTGCTTCATCCTCTCTCTCTGAAACAGCCAGATAGAATGCTATCGCTCTACACACTCCCATTTGCTAACATGTGGGCTTCTTGTGATGGGCACACTGAGTCCCAGAGTTCCCTCCAGTGCTGGCTCCATTAGAAAACAAACCAAACCAAACAAACAAACAAAAACACCTTTTTAATTACATTGCATGAGGCCATGGGCCTTCTCAGCTTTCCCTTTGCTTTCTCAAACTAGAGTCTTGGCCAGGATGTTATCAGGAGTTTCCTGACCCCTGGTTACTCTAATTGATTATATGTAATAAGGCATGCTCCCCAGAAGGCAACCCCAAAGCCATAGAGGCCATCACATGAATAGTACCTACAAAATGCCAATGCCTCGATCAAAGCAACTCATATATAAAAGTGAGAGGGCGGTTCAGAACTTTTCCTGACAGCAGAGGAAGATCAAACCTGTAGACTATTCATCTACATGTGGCTTGTTTTTCTCCCAAACAGAAGAAACGTGAGATTTGAAGGAGCAAAACCAAAACTAAAATATGACTAGTGACTTTATCGACACCATTGGAAATTATCAGAATCACTCCACTTTCTCATAACCATGACACTATGACGCTGATACAACACAGTGGCATCCTGTTGATCCACATGAATGAATTCTTTGGTTTCCCAATTCACCATCCTAAAAACTGATAGTGGAAATATATATTTAAATTAATGTGAAATTTACAATGCATATAAAAGTTTGTAATTGCACTTTTTAATCTCAAAATCATCTTGTTCAATAATATTTTACTCCCTTTCATAGGAGTTTGCTCTTCCAAGGGGTAAAATGTAAGTTTTACTTCAAAGTCCTTTCCTAGATCACAGTGGGTTTGTGTATGTGTGTTTTCTTTTTTTTTTTTTTCATCTAGATATGCAACTCAGAAATGAAAAGCATACAGACGAGAAAACTATTAATGCTATCGTTATAAATTCAGTATCCGAATTCAATATCACAGATGGACCAGCCCAGGAAACCTCCAATGAGAAAAGCCTGTCAGGATCGAGCTCTTCACTCTCTTCCCTCGAAGAATGTCAAACGAAATTTCCCTACCTCCAAACTAATACTTCAGCTCATCGGAGAGATGCTGATGGTATGTTCTCAGAATACAACCCATCTCTAAATAAAGCTCCCAACCCCAGCCCTTGTAAAAATCACTACATATGCCGTTAGAAAGAAAAAAAAAAGTCTTTATGAATATTAAACAGGATGATTTTGATTTAAAAACCCCGCTGAATGACATGTGTCAAGGTCACTTTGGAGCTAGGAGGTGCTTGGCACAGTGTTTGCTCTGGGAATCGGAGGCTATGTGTTTTAAATAGCTCAGACCAGAACAGCATTCTCGGATGGGGCTGGAAAACCAGTAAAATCAAATAAAAAATTTCTTTTCTCAGAAATGAGACCATTCTGCCTGTAGCTTTAAGCGTATGGGACAACGGGAGAACAGAGTGGAAAGATAATAGAATACTAGAGACTCAGAAATGTGGAACTGGGGGATGGCTCAGTTGGTAAGGTGTTTGCTCTATACAAAGGGAAACCTGAGTTCAATGCCCAAAACCCACATAATGAAGCTTGATGTGCTGGTAGCATCTTAATCCCACCACTGGGGAGGTGGAAACCACCAGATCCTTGGGCCCCTCTGACCAGCTATCATAGCTAACTTGGTGAGTTCCTGACCGGTGAAACACATTGTCTCCAAATCCAGCTGTAGACCAACCCATACAGTACGTACAACAAGGCCAATTTCAGATTGATTCAGCGTTAAACAATCAGCTAAGCCAGTCTAGTTCCGGATCATGGATCTTGCACCATGATACATAAAGTGTAACTCAGAGTCACTTGGCAATTGCCTCTATAGGGAACATGAGCCACTCAAGAGTTCCGTAGTGTTTCAAGTCTGCCTATGGTCTCACAGAAGTTAACCCTGGGCTTCTCGGAGGTGTTGTTTCTTATCTGCACCTCACATTTCATTACTGAACATAAGAAAAATCGTTAAAGTTTGTATAAAAGCCCCTTCATCATCACGTTCATGTAACTCGTGCTTCTGAAGTTCATTCATTGGATAGGACAGGACAGTTTAGGGTTTGTCTTTTTGTTTTAAGTTCCCAACCTCTGTCTCCTGGTTACAGACCAGAGTTAGCGACAACCCCCTGGCCGGTGTGGGGCCGGGATGGAATAGTGTGCTTAAAGCACCTACTGCAGAAGCTGCCACACAAAAACTGGGCTTTAGCTTTTCTTATGATTGCAATTTGTGAGAGGAAATAGAGAGACTTCTACCATGTGTTGTGAATGTGCTGTCTTATGCAAATGTTGATATGGATACTCTAAAGCACAGACTACAGACTCAGTTGGTTAAGGCTTGCCAGGAAAGAATGTAAATAATGAAGCTGGAAGTAAATGAGAGGGAATAAAGAGGACTATGGGAAACTGAAGAATACCTCCCCTAAAGGTCACTAAAGCACCACTTCTGGGAGGATGGCTGGGCCAGTAAGGTACTGGTCTCTCAGGCACAAGGCTATAGAACCCATGTGAAGAAGCCAACTTCATAGTTGGTAGTAGGTTTGCAACCCCAGCACTGGGGAAGCAGAACTAGGAGTACCCCTGGGATCACTGTCAGCCAGTCAAGGTTAATTGGTAAGTTCGAAGTCAAGATGAGACCATGACTCAAGGGAGTAGACAGTGTTTCTGAGGATGACAACCAAGTTATTTCTGCAGCTGAGAGAGCGAGCCAGAGAGAGAGAGAGAGAGAAAGAATATCATTTCTCTTTCCCAGAGTTGCAAGATCTCTTCTCTTCTCTTTTCTTTTCTCTTTTTTGAAACAGGGTCTCACATTATGTAGCTCTGGCTCTCCTGGAACTCACCTACTATGTAGACCAGGCTAGCTTCGAACTCACAGAGATCCACCTGCCTCTGCCTCTCAAGTGCTGGGATTAAAGGCGTGTACCACTATGCCTAACTGAGTTGCTGGCTCTTGAAGTGAACAAGCAATATGTAGAGAATACGGATGTCACATGAAACTCCTAAATGTTTTAATATTGATAATGGCTTCCATTCACTTTCTGGCACTCAAGGCATCTTCATGTGTCTTTGGGCCAATGCTTACCTGTTGGCCGGGACTTCAATCTAAGATGATGTTAACGTTTAGCTTTGGCCAAGAGGAAGGGCAGGCATGAAAACAAGCAAGGCGGGGGATTTTCAGCACGTCATTCTGACCACAGAGTTTTTCGGTGGGTTTTACCAGGGAGGCAGGGATGTTGCTCTTTCTATGTACCAGGGTAACAACCCCATATTTAGGAACTGTCATTGTACACATCCACGGACATAACGCCCCCCCCCTCAGAACACCTCCTTCTGTCCAGTTGGGAACCCCGAGAGCAGCATAAGATCTCAGGGAAGGAGAAAATGACTACTCTGTTCAAATGGCACCTAATACTTAAAAGCCTTATGGCAGGAAAATAAGATTTCTCCTGTTCAAAGGAGCAAAGGACAATCAGAAGGATGTGTGAATGGAGCTGTTTATTACGAGAGGTGACTGAAACCCGTAGGACCCAAAAACTCAGATTTCAAGCTGAGGATGTAGGTCATACATGACCCTTTCTTGTTCCCTTTGTGGAAAAAAAAAAATCTCCCTAGTGAAGTAAGAGCTTTTGGCAGCTGAATAAAAGAAAAAGTAAAAAGCCTTATACTAAGGCTCACAAGTCATACTTAAAAAAAAAAAAAAAAAAAAAAAACTCCACTCATTATCCTAAGCAGCGAGGTACTAAGGCTCACAAATCATACTTAAAAAAAAAAAAAAACCAAAAAAACAAATGAACAAACAAATAAACAAAAAACTTCACTCATTATCCTAAGCATTGAGGAAATCAACAGTCAAGCCAGCCTTTCCTCATTTTAGGAAATTTTTGATAGTAACTAATTTAAGGGTGCAGAAATTGAGGAGTGGGGTTACTGTTCCCACTGAAACAAATACAGGAACGTCTCTCAGGAACATGGGAGAAAACAGAAAGGAAACAGAGGACTGTGTCTGCTCTCCTGCAGTTGCTGGTTAATTTATTTTTCAAAACTATAAATGAGTGCACAGGGATGGATGCTTAATTACTAATATCTATGATTTATCTACATCACCCCCTCTTAGAACAGGGTGGGAGAGGCTCCCACGGGCCGATCATGTAAAATGTGGTGCTTCCATTAGCACAGTTCACAGGGTGTGCTCTGATGGGAATTCAAAAGGGCCCCCACTAAGCCTCACGGCCTCTCCTGCAGCAGTTGTCAGTAGCTACGGTGTGTGGTCCTTTTCCACGAGGAGATGGAAAACATGCCCGGGATACTATGCATGCACCTGCTCCCCCGTCTATAGTCTTTAACTTGCAAAAGCATCTTGTGGGAAAGGAAGCCAGGGACACACATCACCTTAGATAACAGGCTCTTTAGAAAGTAATCCTGGAAATATGCCTAATTGATGTGTAATTTTGAATTTCAGGCATCTCATCCAGGTGGAAGGAGAAAATCATAAATACAAGATACCTGCAAAGAATAGTCTTAATTACACCATGGGCTACTGAATAAAATGATTACATTTTCTACACTGTAAATTTCATACAATTAAGTGTAGTGGTGTCACCTTATAAATTGTTTCAATTTTATAATTATTTCAGTTCATTTGCTCAGAAAAAAACATAAGCACAAATTTACCAAGTATCACCCAAATCTAGTCATTTTACTTCTAAAGGACGTGACGTGGACGTTAGTTGTGCCTGTCTGAACTTAAATAGATCTTGACATATTTAAGGAGCTGTTAAAATTGATAACATTAGGGATGATAGCTCTGCTAGAGAATGGTGTTCAGTCACACTGTATTTGCTAGCATCCTACATTTCAGGCGTGTATTTATAAAGAACTTAGTGCTGGGGGAGGGAAAACCGTTTTTATGGCTTTGGACCCAGAACCTTCAGTAGGTCAGTTGGTGCTATTGTGCGCACTGAGGCACTGGGCTGGGGCCGGAGTCAGCCAGTCTCTTTCTCATCCTATTGTGTTCTAAGCAAGAAATGGGTGAGGAGAGAAGTGGGTGAGGTTGTTCTTTCTCTGTTGTTCCCTGTAAGAACTACCCCTGTGACACTTTGCTTATTGGCTGGCAAAGAAACAAAGTGGGTGTGTCTGGAGTTAAAAACATCCCACGAGCTACAACTGGCAACAAGGGATGCCCCTAGTCCTGTTCTTCCCATGTAAGGGAAAGCTCAGAGGGCAGAATCAAGGAATAGCAATGAGGCTGACCCCAGGTACACACGTGGAAATTCTTGGCTTTGTTATCATTTCCACTATAATTAAACATGAGCCTTTCTAATGAGACACATTCTCCCTCTTAATTAGCCAGCCCCCAGTGGAACGTTTCGCACCTCGAAGCTGCCTTAATTCTTCTATGTTATTAGAGTATCATCACTTAGCACATTCCAGCTCGAAAGTACCCTAGGGGTATAGAAAGGACTTGAGACAACCCCAGAAGGATTTGCCAAGGCTTCCTGCTCACAGCCAGATACAGCTGTGGCAGCTTGGCCTGCAGGTTTTGGATCATCTCCTACTGCTGTTCTTCCAGGTTTAGGAGACAGGGCGGACGTTCTAACAGCAGTGATTAGAGGCGATGCCAGGCTGCCAGGTGGTTCGATGGAGAGGATTTCCTGAGCAAGGAACTTGTTGCGAAGGTGCTAAGAGAGTTGAAAAGGCCAGTGCAGCAAACGTGGGGGAGGGGTAGCCCAGGCATCTCCACCATGAGAAGGCTCTATCTCCTCTACCCCATGCTCTCTAGACCACCACTGTGCTGAGCTCATAGACCCCCTAGCAACTAACCAGGGCTAGACAATAGCTGATTTTATTCAGAGCCATGGGGAGGAGGGATGGAGAGTGAGAGGAGAGACAGACACATACACAAACACAGAGAGAGAGAACACAGCAAACACCCAAGACAATGCGCAGAGCTGGGGTATGGAGCGGAAAGACCTGGTTTCCCTCCCTTCTCACCCACCCTCCTACATTCCTGTGGCTGCATCTTCTTGGCTGAAGCTAGCCAGTAGTCATGGAAATAACCTGGCCACCTACATTGCTGGGTCTTATGAATTAAAAAAAAAAAAAAAAAAAAAAAAGAAGAAGAAGAAGAAGAAGAAGAACTGGGTTCCCCAAATCCCCAAATACTCACACCTGGCAGAAAGCAAGCAGAAACATGGAAGAGCGCAGCCAGCTCTAGTTCAAAGCTCTGGAAAGTCCTGAGTTCACATAACAATTAGCCCACTTGCTGAGGTTCCTGGATCATGGCACTTTAAGTTCTCTGAGCCCAGGGACCACATCTGTAAACAGGAGTAATAGGAGTAACCAATCCAGGGTCTTTTTGAGGGCTGGCTGCCTGAGACTCATGTGATACTCTGTCAACTTTGGTCCCTTTCAACTTAGTTTCCATTCACTAGCTGATCGGGTGAGAGAGGGCAAGCTATGCCCACCCCATGGGCAGTACTATGAAGAAACAGTAAGTGTGGAGCAAAGTGTGTTAAAGGAAAGATAGTTCAAGCAAAGAATCTAAGGGTTTGAATATGAGTTGGGTTGAAGCTGCCACCGGTGGGGAGGGGAGGAGGAGAGACACACAAGAAGAGAGCACACCACATGCAAAGGCTCATTTCGAATCCTGGAATTCAACTACTGTGGTGATGGCACACTGAGTAAGGAGTGAGACAAGGCCAGAAGTGAGAGAGCCAGGCAGGAGGCTGGCAGGAGCTTCTTGCTGAGGCAAGGGTTAGGGCTTGAAGGGGGAGTATTTTCTTTTCATTCAGGAATTGAAGTGTCACAAGGGCTCAAAGATTTGAAGTTGGCTCGTGTGATGGCAGACCATCTTCAGACAGAGGTAGTGGCTGTGTCCCTGAAGATAGCTGATGAGGGTACAGCCAGCTATGGGCTGTGCAGGTGGATGAGGAAGCTCACTGTACAAGCAGTAAGACCAACTGGTGACTACATCCGGGGAGCAGGAGAAGCACAATGGCCAATGAGGATCCTAGGTTTCTAGTGACTTCATCAAGGTCCTGCCATCCGCTAGAGCAAACTGGAAAGGGACAAGTGTATGGCATAGAGAAGAGGAAGGTACAAAATAGGACCTGGAACTGGTAAGCAATATGTTTGGAAGACACTGCATAAGAGCTGACCGTAGGCAGCCGCACACATGATGTGCCATTTTCAACTGGCCAGAGGAAGGGATAGTAATCATGAGCTATGCCTCTAGATATAATGTTTATTAAATATTACATCCCAGGAAGCTACAAGGAAAGAAAAGTATACTCAGTCTGGAGAACGGGAAGTCCTAGACTCTTCAAACAGTTGTAAAATTTCTTCTGAACTGCTTATATTACTTCTGTGCAAACAAAATGGCCATATGCAAAAGAGTTCAGCCTGCTGGTGTAGTATTCTTTAATATGCCTTTTAGGAAAAGCACAGTGCACACTTGAAAGTTCAGAAAAATCTGTTTGCAATTCATTAATGTTACTGTGGTTTTCTTGGGCAAAAGGCTCTGCCTTTTATAACCAAATAAACGGGACAGACTTAGAAATGGGAGTGAGAGCCAGTCTACTCTCCAGTGTAAAATACAATATGGAAGGAAAGAAATGCCAATTCAGCCAAAGGATTAGGCCCAAATTCTTTGGGTAAATAAAATCTATGGTGTACACCAGGAGCAGAGGCCTTCGGAGTTTGCCAGCTGGAGGAGAGACTAGCCAATGCCACGGAACCAAATGGTCATGTGCCCTCCTGAAATTGCAAAGCCACTTTACAAGCAGGCTTTTCATCACCAGCTTTAATGATTACAGTCACCTTCTATACGGCTTCACCCGCATCCAACCCAAACTTTCAGCTCTGTGTATACAGGACAAGATTCAATGGGGTAATTTATGTAAGATCCTAACTAACCCTAAGCAAGTCTTTTGAGGCCCCAATCTGAGGAGTCGTGTCTAGAATTCGCTCGGAGTGTTTTCTGCTGAGAACAACTCCTCTGCCGAGAGCTGATGAAGTTAGAGTCGGTGTAGGTCAGATTTGATGAAGTTCTGTGCTATGCATCCTTGACCATTGACACACACTCTTCAGAAAGGCCTGGGCAGAACAGAGTCTCTAAACTATTACAAACTCACTCCTGAATTTTTGTGGGTGGTTTGTGGTGACTTATGAGAGATGAGTGAGTTAGCCATATGCTAGCAGCTGGTGTTAAGTGAATAAAAATACAGCCAGCCTGGCAGAGTGATGAGTATGCAGAGGTATTAGGGAGCAGACCGCCTGCACTATAAATGCTGAAGCTTGGTAGTTAAAGTCATCATAAAAGTCGTGGTGTGTGCGTGTGCATGTGTGTGTGTGTGTGTTAACTAACCACCTATCTGAGAAGAACGAAAGAGGGAGGGCGGGGAGAGCAGGAGGATAGAAAACTGCTCTCAGAATTTGCCCTAGAACTTTGAACAGTGCAAAGCATCATTGTTTAAAATATTTGCTCCTTTTTTTAAAAAAAAGAGCCTATTTCTAAGTTTTCCCTTCCTTTGGAGAATGCCCAGTTCATGAACTAGTAGAGATGGGAGATGGATCAACCTGTATAGTTCTTGCCACACAGGCATGAGGACCTGAGTTTGGATCAGCCACATAAAAAGAAGAGGCCAGACCTGGGAGCCTGTGGCTGTAGTCGAGGCTGGCCTTGAACTCCTAGGGGCCCAGCTTGAGTAAGGGAGGCCTATTCCGTATGGCTACGCAGCTGTCATACACTTAGTCAGAAAACCACAAAATTATTAATGTGCTTACTGAAGACAATGTATGCTTATGAAACCCAAATTTTATAGAGTGGCAACTCCATCCGGAGGAGAGATTTCTCCCAACTCACGCTACAATGTGACATTTCACTATCAACAATCTACAGAGTACTTATTAATTGGATTATATGAATTATTACCCACTCTTCTACCAAAAAAAAAAAAACCCACATTTTGAGACTTCTAAACTCACAAAAAAAATATAATTTTAACAAGAGAACTGCCACATCATTCTAACTAACTCCCTTTATGGAGCAAAAATATACAATAATCTATAACCCATCACAGCTGTTTGGCTAGAATTGCCAATTACCCTCAGTAACTCAGAGATGCTTTCCAGATTTTTTAACAAGTCCTCACAGTAAATTGTTAACCCAGTTTTTTTAGAGGCAACCGATAAGATTTCAACCTCTTAAGCAAGAGATGACGAGGTTCTCCGTGTAACTTGAATAGAAAAATCAAGTCTTTCCCTGTCTCCACACAGGAAGATGGAGACAGAAATGAGAAACAAAACCCAACCCAAAAAGCTGTGATTATTATAAATAGCGCTTCAATAAAGTTTGGAACTGTGCTTTGTGCTCATGTTTGAATATGGGTGTGATAGATTTATGGGAAACTGTGTCGAACCTGTCTTGAAGCCTGGTGACAAGCAGCCAGACATCTGTGGTCTCTCCTTGCCCCCAGCTCTAATAGCTTCTGATCCAATGCATTTGGGAAGGGCCTGTTGTCACTCAGAGAGTCACAAAGACTCATCCTGTGCCTTCCTAGCTCCTCACAGGCAAACTAAAGCAAGAGGTTTAGGACAAAAATGACAGCACCCTTTAAGTAACTTGATTAGGTAGAATCAATAGGGAATGCTTGGGAACTTAATAACACAATCACTTAGTGAGTACTGGGATGTGGGGGGAGGAGCTGGCAGACAAGCCATGTACAACATCCCCCGTGGCAGGGGAGGCAGCTTGGTGGTTAAAGTACCTGCCGTACAAACATAAGGACCTTAGTTCAGATTCCCAGGGCCTAAGCAAAACGTCAGGCAGGGTGTCATGGTGTCACACCTGTAACCCTAGACCCGGCAAAGGTCAGAAACACTGGGATCCCAGAGGCTCACTAGCCTTCCAAAATAGCAATCTCGAGGTTCAGTTAGAGATGCCAGCTCAGAAAATAAGGTGGAGAAACAATTGAGGAAGACATCCCAGTGTCAACCTCTGGCTTCCATGAGAGCCTCACACACAGACACACACACACAAAATAACACAATGACAAAATAACACAGTGAGAACATCTCCACCTCAGTCCACAATTGACTGACACTCCCCTCTGTGCAAATACTAACTTTCTTCCATCTTTATTATATTTTTGTTCCGAGATCACAGGAAGTATGTGGTGTGTATAAGCAAGCAGGAGTGTAAATCCATGCACACCCATGTATGTAGGTGCTGGGGTGAAACTCAGATCATCATGCTTATCCAGTAGCCACTTTACCGACTGAGTTGTCCCTCCTGCTTGTCTACGGTGCATCTTACCATTTTTATTGCTCATGGGTGTGGAGTGTGACCTGATCAGCTTTGTCCATGTAACGTGTAACGTGCAGTTGCAATGGTCACGTGAGGGCAGTGAGCAAGGCTGTCCCCTCAAACGCTATTTACATCTTTTCTGTGTGTGTATGTGATTCACATGTACTGACTCCTTCTTTCTTCAAACAGAGGAGTGTGCCTCCCTGATCCTCGCCTGTCTCTTCTGCCAGTTCTTGGACTGCCTCCTCATGCTCCCCGACACGTGTGAAACCGTCTGCATCAACCTATGCTGCCCCTCTCACAGGTACTACTCCGCCTCAGACGAGAGCCATCCTCGCAATGATTGCAACTTGTCCTGTGACATGGACTGTAGCCTCTTTGAATCCTGCCATGAGACCAGCGAGTGCTTGGAGCTGGCCATGGAGATATCGGAAATCTGTTACCGATAGTACAAGGAGGGCTGAGAACGCAGGTGGTCCTTTTGGCCACGGTGGGGAATTCTATTACAGTGCACCTGAGATAAGAGCTCCATGTGTCCAAATGCAGGGACCATACATGTTTCTTGGATGCTCTAGGCCATTTCATGCTGCACCTGTCTAGGAAAGCTACTACTGTCAACTCGGTGGTCTTGTTCCAAATTTCACAACCGCATGGCTCACTGCAAAATATAATTCTTGATCACACACATGACTGAACAAATTTCAAATACCTCTTAAATGCCGTAGGTAGAAGATGTTTCTTGACTGTTAAACAGCATGCAATACCACTCTTCACTCTTGATTCGGCAGCCTGCATCGTGGCTCCGACTTCATTCATGAATTCAGGACAAATTTTGCTTTCCTGTAGGCTCAACACACATTACTTATCTTTCTGATGGACTCATGCATAAACATTATGCATTATTGGTTATTATTAATAATGTATTGTGTAACATCATTTTGTAATTAAAAATTTATTTATACAGTCTCTTAAAATTCACTTATATGTACAGTTTAGGCAGGAGAGGGAATTAAATGAATCAGAAACCATGTTCTTGTAATGAAAGCAGATGTTTTTTGAAACCTCTCCAATGAATCTTGAATCTGGTCGACTTCAGGCAAGCCCTGTAATTCTAGACCATATCATTATATGTCTGTGGCTGCATCCTAAGAGGTCATGCAAATTCTTAATTTTTACAAAGAGATGCTTCTTTATTACAATAAAGCAAAAATGAGAGCCACATGCATGTTTCAGGAATGTGATCTATGATAACTGCATCTTTGCCTTCCTCACTTCTGTTTGTTAGGTAGGATAAACAACAGGATATTTAAAAGAAATCAGTTCATTTTACTAAACTAGCACATGTCCAGACACCTAAAATAAATACACATGCAGGGCCTTGCTCAGCTCACATTTCCCAATTCGGCATGCACGCTTTGGAAACCATCATTCTTCATTTTGTTCTTCTGCTAATAAACTATCTGACAATTCTGTTGAAAACTTCTGTTCCCTAACACTGCGGCAAAAGGCAGGATGTATGCTACAATGTTACATTCAAATCAAAATACAAAAGTAGCAGGAAGTCTAGGGTGGCTGAACCTGGGAAACTACACTCTGTAGGAGTGATACACTGAGAGGAATACTTCATAGACACACATGTATATTCCTATGGCTAGAGCACAGTGTGTTTCATGGGAACTGGACAGTGTTGCAGCAACCCAACAGAGCAGACAACTGAAAGGAGGCCTGAGAGACACTCATGTGGACTAAAAGAACAGCCACTGGGGCAGTCCGAAATTAATTGTTTGGGGTTTGCATTGTTTTATTCTTCTGCTTTGGGTGATTTCAGACAAAAGTAATGTTTGTTTGTATAGTAAGAAAACTAGCAATTTTTTTTTCTAATCTGTAATAAATTTCCCAACATTGGACAGAATTAATCTTAAAAACTACTGCTGAGCTGCCTTGAGATAGTGTTTCGCCTCCTCTCTTAGCTTTCTCCTGGCAGTAGGCTATATCCATGGTTAATGCCAGCTTTTTTCTTATGTGACTGTTATGTTGTCCACAGACCACGCAGCATGAGAGTATATGCCATCCTCAGCCCAAAACACTTCTTTTTTTTCCACCTTTCATAAGGCACAACTCTAGATTCTATGCACACAGTTCACAGATCATTAAAAAATAATGGGGCAGGCATAGTGGTACCGACCCATAGTCACAGCACATAGGAAATCAAATCAGTGCTATCAGCCATTCAACATACAGAGCAAGTTGGAGGCCAAGCTGGACAACATTAGATGTATCATTAAGATAAAAACAAAAACAAAAACAAAAAAACCCACAAAGGAAGTCCCAAGAATGTGTGGATCCAAGATAACATGTTGAGTTTGTGACAGTCAGGATCCTAGCTCCGGGTCTGACTCTGCTTTCTCACCTGATAGTTTTTGCTTGTTAACATCACAAACCCTAAAACACTACCACCCTGATGACAAATAGTGGTGACCTTGAACCAGATCCACAGGGGTCTCTGGGATCCCATCCTGACAGTGCTAAGTTGCCTGATCTCATTGTTCAGTCCATTGTATTCATTTTTAATGTCTTATGATCAGAGCCTTATTATTTCTCAGCTATATACCCTCAGTTTATGTAAAGGTTGTGCACTTCAAATATGAATTCAATGCTTGTTGTTTAGAGACATAAAAATCAGCAGTTCTTATTTGACAGCATTGTCAGGACCCTCTAAAATTCCCCCGTGGCCTTGCTTTCCACAGTTTGTTAATTTGTTTCTCACTCTGAGAATTCATCATGCTCTACCAGAAGGGGTGGGTTATACAAAGTGTGAAATTTCTTTTCTTTATAGCCAATAATAAAATATCATCTTTTTTGCAAACATGAATGGTGATTTCAATTGAATTCCTACACAATAAAACATGCACAGCTGGGAAAACACAGTTGCAGCCGTGGGCCAGATCAAAGCCGAGCATAGTTATTGATTAAACACAAATATCAAGATCTGAGAAGGCATGGGTATTCTATGACAATGATGAAGGCCTGGTGATTACAAACTGAGATAATGCTGTACTTCAAGGTAGGCCTTCTTGAGGGAATGGAGCGTTCTGATTTAAGGAGGCAGACTAGTATCAAAGAGATTAGCAAGTATACAAGCTTTTCAAAGAATGGAGAAAAGAGATGACCCCACCCAGCTCCATAACCATATAGTCGTATTGTCTTTGCTTTGCTCCATGGATTTTTATAAAACCATTTCTCTGTTAAAAGCCACCAAACTATGGAACACGGTGAAGAAAAGTTACGTTTAAGTTGCTAATGAAACCGTCCCACTACATGAGCTGAGAGGCCTACAGAATTAATTTTCAATGCTGGACAATCAAAGTTAATAGAGTGAAAGGCACTTCAGGTTTTTTGTTGTTGTTGTTGTTGTTTTTTGTTTTTTGTTTTTTTTTTCCCAAGATGATTTAAAAAAAAATATTCAGGCAGGGAAACTTTACCAATAGAAAGCCTAAAGGAGAACATTTAGAATTGCTTTCAAGGAGAAATACACAGGTGGGAGATGTACCCTCCCCATGTGACGGCTTCTCTGCTATGGCACATCCATAAAACTTATTAGCAAATGAAAGGTGTATTATGGCTCACAGATTTTGCAGGTTCCGTTCCAGAGGTGGGTGGTTTTGTTGCTATGGGGTTCGGCACAAATCTGTTCAGACTGTGGCCTGCAAGCGGATCCAGGGAAGGACAGGGGTCCCACAACATCTTTCCAAGTCTGTGATGACCAGGAGGAATTTCACTAGATGACCACTTCCTAAAGGCAGCCACAGTAGAATGAGACTTTCATTCCTGGACCTCTAGGGGGCACTCAAGATCCCAAAGACAGAACTTAAATCAAGAGACTCCTCAGCGGCAACGTTCAGCGTTTAAGTTTCCTCAGAAGGTCTGAACTGATGGCCTCCAGAGAAACGTGCAAACTTGGTGTAAGGGTTTGTGGGGTACTTTGTGAAGAACCAACCTGAGCAATGTCTGGAAGTGTAAGTTACCACACAATAGAGAGGAACTTTCTGGGGCCAGAAGCGGGTGGGAAGAAGCTAGGAAGACTGATGAAGTTCCAGCGATAGCCCCTGCTATGCTGCTCTGTGGAACGTCTTCCCTCAGGCTGAGGTGTTTAAACACTTCGTCCCAGTCAGTGATGTGGTTTTTGGGGGGTGTGGGTGGTAGCGGGGGTTGTGAAAGCGTTAGGAAGGCAGACATAAGCGTGCAGTCTTCTGGAGGGTTGGGGCTAAGCCTATGTCTCTGGTTCCTGGTACGCGCCATGAGCTAAGGATCTGCAGCATACCCCCCGTTCCACCGGACTGAGCCCAGCACCAACCCTTCCCCACCACGGTGGACTCCAATACTACAAGCCAAACTAAGTACCTCTTCCTTGATTTGGCTTAGGTACATAGTTGATATGGCAACGAGAAAAGAAAAGTAAGACAGCCTCCTCATGACAAAGACATCTCCAAACGCCAGTGGCATAGTTTAAAAAAAAAAAAAAAAAAACACCTGCTCAGGAAGCTTTTGGCCCTTCACTTAATAACCATCCACACCATTCACCTGAAACATTGTTCAAATCAGTATCAGTTACCAGGTAAAACATGGCATGCCTTGCTACCTCTGAATTTCAGAACGGGCAGATATCTTTAAATGGGCGTGACCGAACTACTGCATGTAACCTACACAAACTACAAGAATGATCATTAAATCTGGAACAACGGCTCAACAGCCCTTTGCCCCGGGGCCAGACCTATGCAGGCACTCTTTTCCAGCTCTTCCCAAGTGCCTAGAAGAGGAACTTGCCATCTCTTTGGTCACCTCTCAGGCCATTTACTGAATTATATTTTATGATTGGTGTGATGAAGGGGACCCTGGTCTAAAGATATTCTATGCTTTACTTCCTGCCCCCAAAGTCCTTGGGGAAAGCCACAAGGCTGGGGTCTCTGCTTGTCAACTCGATCAAAACAGAAGGACCTCGACCTGAGGCTTTCATTCAAGGGGCAGGAACCTGGTGTAGTTTGGGTCTTATGTGTCCTCCGTAGGACCATAGGTTAGAGTCCTGGTCGTCAGCTTGATACTCTTGAATGTGAGAGTGTCTAAGGCATGGTACATAGTGGGAGGTGTTGAGTCATTAGGGAAACCTCAAAAGGGGAAGTGAGGGAAGGTATACAGGAGAAAGGTCTGTCAGCCAAGTGTCTGCCTGGAAGCATGACCTGAGTTTGAGCTCAAGAAAAAAAATTTAAGCAAGATGGTTGTGGTGGGTACATACTTGTTAAGCCAGTACCACCAAGGTAGAGAGGCCAATCCCTCGAGCTCCCTGGCCAGGCAGCCTCGTCTACTCAGTTGAGATTCAGTCACGGAGAGACCTTGTCTCACAAACAAAGTGACTGTGCCTGAGGAATAAGCACGTGTGCATTAATACATAAAC